CATACTCTTATATTTTTAATTAACAACTAATATTAATTAATTAAATATAAATACATGAACAATCATTCCACACTCCAAAAATAAACTACAATATGTTGACGCCATTATTTCTCACGAATTTGTTTTCTTCCACATATCTCTAAAACTGTTTGATAGGATACATAATTGTTGTTTTAAAAAACGTCATTATTTTTAATACAACTTTAATGGAAAAATTGTAATCACATTTCATAACTCTAATATATAAAGTTATTTAAGGAAATTAAAATTGATCCAACAAAAAAAACGTAATATACACTTATAAAACTAGAAATCGATATTTTTTTTTTCTCATAACGACCACAAAGTATAGAAACAATATTTTTCAAAATAACCTATAAAAACTGTGAGTCGGTTATACGTGTTCTATAGCAATATAGAATTTTTCTTAAGTTGTATTTTTTATAATAAATTTATGTACTTAATAATATAAATTTAGTTCCATATCACGTTTCAGTGGTTGATGGTTGTGGTTTCTGTATACAAATTCTTAATATGTATATATATTGGAACTTTTATTAATCCACCTCTTATCTTTACTTTTCCAACAAACTTTAAGAAATAGATTTTGTGATTTAAACGAAATTTTGATTTAAAATTATTATATGCATTTGTTTTATGATTTTTCCTATCAATTTATCATTATGGGAAGTACTGGTTATGTCACTAAATCAGTTAGGTCCTGACTGGTATAATAGAATGGAATGTTGTAGAAATGGAATGAATTGAAGAATGATGATTATGTGAATGAAATGAAATTAGTTTTGTCATTGATGCGTTTGGTATACAGAAAGAAAAAGGCCTGAATGGAATGACATTATCATTTGTTATTAAAAAAATAAATAAAAGATTTTCTAAAAAAATAATATATTTTTAATAAATTGTATATAAATGCTTTTTTAATAATATATAAGAATAAACTAATATATTTTTATTAATAATATATAAAAATAAAATTATATATCTTTTAATAATATAAAAAATAATGTATTATAAAATATACAAAAATAAAATAATATTTTTTAAATTACATATATTAAATAATATGTTCTTAAAAGTAATATATTTTTAATATATAAAAAATAATATATTTTTAATATATAAAAAATAATATATTTTTAATAATATATAAAAATAAAAATTAATATATTTTTATAATATATA